TGTTTCTAATGTATTTATAATGTACCATGTAATTTTTTTGTTGCTTTGTATGTTCCTCCCCCACGGTATTTAATGTCGGTGCCCTGCACCTTGTATATATGCTTTTCTCATTTGGGGAGGGGAAGGGAAAAAACAAAATCTTAAATAGGGATACTGTTGACCCATTGTAACAATGAGAGGTACAAGACACTATGTTGAAAAATGAACTTTACAATTTAGGCAGGGGTGGGGGGAGAGGGAAGCAGGGGTGCGGGGTGGATAAATGTAGTTGGGGAGAGAAGGGATGGAGGGGAGAAACAAAGGAGGAGGTAACAATGCTTGATAGGAAATGTACTCATTACCTTACTCGTATAACTGTCATCTCTCTGTACACTAGTTTTTACAATAAAAAACATATAAAAAAAGACACTGCTGACTCACACCTCTAATCTTAGTTACTAGGGAGGCTGAGATTGGAAGGATCGTGGTTCCAGGCCGGCTTAGGCAGAAACATGCGACAGACTCCATCTCCGTGGAGAGAAGCTGGACACATTGGCTCTCAAGCCTGTGATCTCGATGAGGACGAGAAACATGCAAGGAGGCAGACTGCAGCTCAGGCACAGGCCTGGCCGGAAGTGAGACCCTATCTTAAAAATAATCAGTGAAAAACAAGGCGGGAGGTGCAGCTCAGCATATCACGCCAGCTTAGCAACACGAGGCCCTAAGTCCAATCCCCCAGTACTACCAAAAGAAAAAAGTGTTCCATCAATTAAATCTATTGAAATCGTCTTCAGAAGGGGAAGTGGGGTGGGGGAGAATGATGGGGTGAAGTTGATTGGGCTGTGTTGTATGCATGCGTGGAACTGTCAATGAACTCCCCCCACACACACTAATATATGCTAATAATAAAGATGGTGGCTGTCTTTTGCTAAGCATCAGATAGGCACACATTGGAACGGCACCAAAGCCACGTGTGGCAAATTTCAGGAGCTCGTGGGCCTCTGGCTCTGGCTCCTGCCTGTGCCAGCATTCTCCCTGGTTACTGCCCACACTGAGTGTGGGAAACACCGCCTCTTTTCATTTGCAAAACAAAGCTATTGAGAGCCATATGAATTTTCCAGAAGCTTTGGAAGGATGTTGGAACAAGAGAGAAGGTAACCCACCACTCATGCTACAGGTCCTGGCTGGCATCTTTGCTGGCCATTTCTGTCCTGCTAGGGTCTCCTCTGGCAGAACTCTGGTGGCTCACACCTGTAATCCTCGCTACTTTGGAAGCTGAGATCTGCGGATCATGGTTCAAAGCCAGCCGGGACAGGGAAGTCCATGACTCTTATCTCCAATTAAGCACCAAAAAATCTAGAAGTGGAGCCATGGCTCAAGTGGTAGAGCACTAGCTTTGAGCAACAAAGCTCAGGAACAGAACTCAGTTCTGTTCCTGAGTTGAAGCCCCAAAACTGGCAAAACCAAAACAAAAATCAAGTGCCTTCTCTGTAGTGTTCTGTGCCACCACCAACTTGCTGACTTCGCTGTCTTTCCTCCCAGAAGCCATGCAAGTATCGGCCCCACCACTTGTTCATCCTACAAATCTGGTATGTTCCATAACTGCTCTGTGTCTCAGTTTCCTCAGCTGGAAGGTGCTGATGGTGGTATATCCTCTGAAGGTCATCGTGGACATAAATTGAGGTGTGTATGTGTGTGTGTGTGTGTGTGTGTGTGTGTGTGTGTGTGTGCGCACATGCTCATGTATATGTGCCAGTGTGCTGGGACTTGGACTCAAGGCTAGTGACAACCCTTAGCTTTTAATACTCTAAAGCTTGCACTCTACCACTTGAGCCACATCTCCACTGCTGGCTTTTTTTTGCTGGCTAACTGGAGATAAGAGTCTCATGGACTTTCCTGTCCTGGCTGGCTTCAAACAGCAATCCTCAGATCTCAGCCTTCTGAGCGGCTAGGATTATAGGCGTGGGCCACTGGCACCAGCCTATCAGAGTTGTTCATATGTGTGAGGATTATGGATCTGGTCCAGTGTGAGCACTCATGCCTTCATTGTTACCCAGAGCCAGCCGCGGCCACCTGGTTAGAAGAGCAGCCTTAGGGCCTGCTCTCCTTCCAAACGCTTGTCGTGAGATTGCTTCCTAGCAGGCAGAACGACTCCTCTGCAGGGAATGCTGGCAAGAAATGTCCTTCTGTGTCTTTTTTTTTTTCCTGCTGTGCCACCAAGTCCAGGGCTGTCTGACATTGAGTGGCTGGGAAAGAACTTGACCGGATGGTTCCTGGACAGCTGTGGAGGCCACGTGTGGACCGAGACGCAGCCGGCTTCCCTGCCCAGCTGGCAGACCCTCTTTTCCAAGCCAAGGCAGACACACGTCTCCCTGTCCCCTAGCGGAGTCCAGCTCTCTAGGGAGTGGCTGGGTGGGAGAGCGGCCCAAATGGGCAGCTCCATCCTGGGTGGTGGCCAGCTGACCCACGTGGGCCGGTACAGTGCTGACAATGCTGGGCCAGGCTTCCAGGATGACTGCGCAGCCTGAGTGAGGGGAGACCACTGTGCTGATCACCCCCAGCGCCACCATCTCCCCCACACCACACTGCACAGACAGGTCCATGCTGGGACCTGGAGCTGGGCTGACCCTGGGGAGGCCTGGGGGAGGCCGAGTGAAGAGGACAGGAGACCTCGTGCTCAGCCGGGCACCGGTGGCTCACGCCTATCATGTTAGCTACTCAGGAAGCTGAGATCCGAAGATCGTGGTTCAAAGCCAGTCCCAGGCAGGAAAGTCTGTGAGATTCTGATCTTCAATGAGCCACCAGAAAACCAGAAGTGGCGCTGTGGCTCAAGTGGTAGAGTGCTCATCATGAGCTGAAGAGCTGAGGGACAGCACCCAGGCCCAGAGTTCAATCCCCATAACCGAAAACAACAACAAAAACAAAAACCTCATGCTTTCCAGCCCCTGCTGTGAGAGGGCAGAACTGGAGTGTGACCAGGGGGTCCTGCACTGGGGTCTCCCCACAGCAGATACCCTGCCCCATAAAGCAGGGCTTTCTGCGCAGTGGAGGAGAGAGCAAAGCGTCCCTGGTTGGTGGCAGGTGACGGGGCTGACCTCTCCAGAGGAAATGCAGGGCAGGGTGTGGGTCTCCTCGGTCACGTGGGTAGTGGGGAGGGCAGCCTTGGCTTTCCGTGTCCCCCTGCCTCCTCCCCAGAGAAATCTTCTCACAACATCCAGGCCTCACCTGACAAGGCCGCACACTTCCCAGACCTCCAGACACGTTCAAACCAGCTGTGGGTGGCCCTGCCCGCGCCCCCCTCACTCCTCAGAGGGGACAGGAGAGGAAGTTCAGAAACTCCAGCCCCTTGAGGCCCCCTGAGACCTGGGGGGCGGTGCTGGGATCCTTCTCCACATGGCTATTTCCAGAGCAGAAGGGTGAGCCATGGTGGCTCCTTTCTTAGGGTCCCCAACAGGGCTCTGCCCGCTTAGACTTCAGTTTGCTCACAGCTGGGAGTCAGAGAGACCCCGTCCCCATCGGCATCTGCATGCCAGGACATATCAACGCCCAGCCAGAGGGCTGCTGCTGAAGCAGGCGGGCACAGAGCCCGGCCGGCTCTTGGCACTGGGCCAGCTCAACAGTCACCCTTGGCCAGAATCCCACTGGGCCAGAAGAGAAAATCTAGGGCTACCTGGAGATGCTGAAGATGCCTCCGGCCCTCTTGTGGGGCCACCTACAACTCGGATCTCCAGAGTGGTCAGCCAGCTGAGAGCCAGAGAGGGGTCTCTAGTACCAGGCTAAACACCCTTCCTTCCCTGGCTCCTAGCCTACTTAAGGGCCAGTTTGCCTAGGGTCAAGACAGGGTAGGCAGCAGAGCCGGTGGGAGCCAATGACCTTGGCTTTGACTGTTACCACTCACTTCACCTGTCTGAGACTCAGTTGCCTCCTCTGCAGGGCCAGATGGATGTGTGCATGCTCGGGGTGGTTTTGAGGGTGAAAACAGACCAACCGATGCTCAGCATATCCGGGCGTGAGTCAGGGCTCAGAGCGGGGCTGTGGTCAGCAGCCCACTTCCCTCCTGCCTGAGAGAGCAGGCCTGGCTCTTCGGAGAGATGCCACCTGAGACGTGGGAAGGCTCACACGCTTTCTGACTGGGCCCGAGGCCCAAGTGGGACGTGGTTATAGACCACAGGACTGCAGGAATGAGGGTCTCCCTCCTATATCACCACCACGGGGCGTTGGAAAAGAGCCTTCAGCCAGGTCTGGTTCCTCTGTTTAGACAACTGGCTCATTCAAACACACAGGCGGGGCTGCCAGGGTGGGGAGCTGCTGGGAGGGAGACAGCCAGTGGGTGGGGACGACCGAGCGAGAAAGGACCCATACAGGAGGTGACAGTGCCTTCCTCTGTCCTCAACTGGTATGCAAAGTTGAGGTGAACGCAAAGTCCTTTCTTGATTAAACTCCAGCAAGACTCTTGGGTCCCCAAATGGAGACTTATGCCAGACCCCAAAGCCTGGACACCAGAAGAACGTCCTCTTGCCATTGTTGTACGTCTCTGGGCACTGTCATCAGTGAGCTGGGCACCTTTGAGCGACCCTTGCACTGACTGAGCTGCTTCTAATTCCCCCTTCTCCGGATCCACTTGTGAGCCCTGGGCGTCTACCCAGCTCAAAGAGCCCAGATCCTCCCTTTTCCTCCTTCTGGAGCCCCAGGAAGCCCCTGGCACCACAGCTTCTAGAGATCTGGGTGTGGGCCAGGCCTGGAGGGGTTCTGAGAGCTCCAGCACTTGCTACAGATGAGCATCAAGGTTCTCGGTTGGGCAAGATTGGCCTTGGTGGGGCTCTAGACTAAACAGGGTGGTGTGTATGTGTGTGTGTGTGTGTGTGTGTGTGTAGAGAACAGGTCAGGCCACGCACCCGTGATCAAGAACAATCCAGCCCGGTGGTAGGCCCCTTGCCAATCGCCAGCTACTCTCCCTCAGGATCACCCCTCCATAGTGGCAGTGCCCAGGGAAATGGCTGGGAGGAGAGTCGTGTACTTACAGCACGCAGAGAGCATAGGCCCGGGGGATGGACTCGCTGGCCCGCACGAGGAAGCTGCCATCCTTGCCTGCCCTGGAGAGCAGTTCCTCTGCCTTGGAGCGGGTGATGTTGCCATGGTTCCAGCCAAGGACCATGGTGGGCGTGGGCCTCTTGGGCCAGATGGACCACCACCCGTAAGCCCCTCACACCACCGAGGGCAGCGACGTGCCCCACGCCAGGCCGCTGCCTGACCCCTCTCAGTTGCTTCTCAGCTGCTGCCACCAGCTTAACTGACTGACTTCCTGTTTCAGACGCTCAGGGAGGGAAAGGAAGCTGAGCTGCACAGAACTTCCTGATTACAGAAACCGGGGAGGGGGGCGGTGTCCCCACCTTCCCACCCGGCCCAGCCACTGTTGGCCGGGCCCTCCTGCTCACTCCTAGCCCTTGTCTTGTCTTCTTGTTCATTGCAGTCTCCAGAAGCTTCCAGCATCTGCAGCAGTCCTGCCTGGCTCGAGGATTAGCCCTGAGTGGGTGAGGCAGAGATGGGTCAAAGAAAGTTGCCATCCGGAGGCCTAGGTGGAGGCCCACGTGAAACGGTCGTGCGCTGAGCCTTCTGGTCCACTTCCACGACTCTGAGCCTTCTGGTCCTCTTCCACGACTCTGTGTCTTCATTCAGATTAAGGTCTGTCTCCAGAGCAGGGCATGATGGGATGCATCTAGACCCCACCATCCCTGTGTTGGGAGAGTTTTGTGGCTGCCCCCTCCTGACTGTGCCAAGAGCCCGGGGACAGTTCTGTGACTCAGTTACGTGTCTCCTGGAACAGTCTGTCCTCCTTTCCTGTACCTGGCTGACCCACGCAGGGAGCCTGGACAGCTGGACACGTCCATCTCTCCCCAGCGCAGGCTGGGGCTTCCTCTGGGCCTCTCCTGGGCACACAGGAAACCAGCCTCAGGGAAGGACTCACGGACAAGTGAGCCACTCGATCAAGGACAAGGATTGTTCCAGAGTCCTGCGTTCCTGCATTGTGATAGTCTCAAGCGACCGGTCAGACCTGGGCACATCTGTCCAGTGCACAAAGGCCACCCGCAGAGTTCTGAGGGCTTCAGGGTAGACCCTGTCCCCTGGGACCCCGGAGCTGGCTGTCCTTAGCCCTTGATCAGCCCTGGCCCGTGGCAGAAGCCATGGCCCCAGGACGTGAGTACAACCCCAGAGATAGACATCAGCCCCACTCAGGCCAGCGGAGCTCCAGCAAGTCTCTTATCTCTCTCAGCCTGGGTTTCCTCTTCTCTAACTCGAGAGATGTGGCTCTGGAGCAAACTCCAGTGTGTGGAGCTGTGCTGTGGTCACTCCGGAATAAACCCCTATGCCTCCACCCACAGCAGAGCGCCCTCCACGGGGGTCCCCGGCCAGGCCCTGTGCCAGGCGTGGGGACAAGAATTGGGTCCCATATGTTGTCCTTCTCTAGCCAGTTGGCCCCCAAAGGTAGCTCTGCAGGAAGCCCAGTGTGGAGGCCCCTCATGTCTGCCCCGCGCCTCGGTGTCCCTCTCCTGCCCCATTCCAGCCACCTGTCATGCGCCCCCTGCTCGTTCCCCACAGCTCTGCTGAGCCATTCACTGCCGTCAGCCGCAAAGCCTCCAGGGCCCATCAATAGGCACCATTTGCAATCTTCACCAGTTTTTATGTTCTTTTGATTTAAATTGAGAGACACAGGGTCTTGCTCTGTTGCCCAGGCTGGCTTGGAACACGCTAGGTATTCCAGGCTGGCCTCAAACTTGCGATCTTCATGCCTGAGCCTCCTGAGTGCTTGGATTGCAAGTGTGTGCTACTATGCTTGGTTTAATCCTGGTTCTTATGGGCAAGATGCCTCATACAGAATCGTTCCCTTCACTCCCCCCCCCCTCAGCTTTCCACCCCTTCTTCCCTGCCCCCATTTCCACTCTCTTTACTTTCCAGCCCAGTGAGGTGGCCTGGCACGTACATAACACATGCATGATCCACGGGGACAAAGGCTTCTGGGCCCTTTTTTTTGTGTGTCAGTCCTGGGGTTTGAACTCAGAGCCAGGGCATTGTCCCTGAATTTCTTTTGCTCAAGACTAGTACTCTGCCATTTGAGTCACAGTGCCACTTCTGGCTTTTTTCTGTGTATGTGATACTGAGGAATTGAACCCAGGCCTTCATGCATGCTAGGCAAGCACTCTACCACTAAGCCACCTTCCCAGCCTGCTTCTGGGCCTTTTAAGGCCCATTGCTATGCTCACTTCCTACCCTACCCACATGCCTGTGTCATGAACATGGGTGGCTTTCTTGTCTCCTGTTCCTACCTTTCACTTCCAGAAAACCCCAACAGTGTTGCTCTAATGGTAGGTAAAGCCTAGGTTATGGGGGGGGGAGGGGGAGGAAGAGGCTAAGCAGGATCCTTGTCTATTTCAATAATGTAATGGACATATGTTATAAAGTCCATGGAACCGTATGAGGTACAGTGACTTGGCAGCAAAGATCTATAGTAATGGCAGGGCACGAGGTCAATCCACGTGTACTGGACACCCAGTCGGCCTGCACAGGGATCTCATGAGGTCTCTGCCCTGTCTTCTCCTTCTGGCTCAGCCGCCATGTCCTCATGGTTTTTTCGTCATCAAATGCCCCGTCCTGGCTGGCTCTGTGTCCCCGCAGAGTTGAGGGCAGCAGGCTGGTAGCATTCACAACCCACAGCTCTGCCGACCCCACGGCCCTGAGATCACGTGGACCCTTGCCCTCTGCACTTCTCTGACGCCATGAATTCACTGGTAGCGCCACGCCACCCAGAATATGACCTCCCACAACACCCTCCAAGGTTGCTCCTTCGCCTTGTGGAGCAGGCAAGAAAAGGTGAATCATAATTTGTGAGCCTCTAATATTCAGTTTGTCACTGTGAACTATAGCGCTTGCACATAGAACACACGTTGTCCAGGCGTAGTTGCTTGTTAGGCCTTATCACTGCATTCCTAGATTTCCACCTCATGTACCATGGCTGGCGGTTCGCTGGCTTCCCACACAAGGACAACCCCATTCTTCAGGAATGCTCATTCCGGACTTGGCATGACGTTAGGCCCCACAGGACAGGGAGCTGACCGGAACATCCGTGGCTATCTGACACCCGGAACCTTCACAGCGGGGAGAGGGGAGACCCGGAGCACAGAGGATGAAGGACACCCACCATCATCCCAGCCGTCCTCAGCGCTCAGCCCTGCTCGGGAGTGACCTGCTCCCCAGCTGCTCCCCAGGCGCCATACTCCACCCCCCAGCCCCCGGGATGATCTCATAGGGTGAGTGGGTCTTGGTGCTCCTGGAGGCAGCTGGGTAACTGCACATGTGGGGCAGAGATTTTGGAAAGCAGCTGAGAGGGAGAATAAGGTCAAGGCTCGTGTGGGCTCAGGGCTAGACCAAAGGGGACCCGCCCCATGGCACTGCCAGCCATGGTCTGTCCCCGGCCCTGGAGGGAGATGGAAATTTCTTGGGAATCTGGGGTGGTCTGGCAGGCCTCAGTCATGGGCACTGGGCCACCTCTGAAAGCACCAGGCAAAACAGACAGAGCTGTGTTAAGAGTAAGTTTCCTTTGCAGGCTTTACACACACCGTGTGTGTGTGTGTGTGTGTGTGTGTGTGTGTGTGTGTGTGTGTGTGTGTGTGTGTAGTACAGTCATGTACTCCTCAACAAGTTCCAGGGGGGAAAAAAGTACCCTTAGGTGATTTTGTCACCTGGTTTTCTGGACAACAAACCTGAACACGTACCGCATACAATACGGCAGTGCACAGGCTGTGCGAAGGCCCCGGGCTTCTCAATGGGCCTGATCGTATAGGACTTCACTTTGCAGTCTGCCACATCTCCCCCAAAGCCAGACTGTAAGCCCAGTTTTAAGATCCTTATCTGGCCGTCCTGGAGCAAAACCGCCCTTCCAGGCATGAATTCCAGAACCATCAGGTTTTGTTTCTGCTGTAGATGAACTGTGACACACGGACTCCACAGTTCCCTCCTGAGAGTTTCCAGGAATCCCTCCGCTACAGAAGTGACACCTGACAACAGCGAGGAGCCATGTGAGCAATGACCGCAGCCTGAAGGGGGCTTCGTAGGCTTCTAAGGGAGCTGGAAAGTGGTCCCAGGCTTTCCGACGGCGCAGCACGATCGTCTCTCCCAGGAAGGGGCTGATGCTGGTGCAAACAACTGCACACAATCCATGTGAACACGCGTAGCACAGAGCACCTCATGATGACCACAACTGCCTACTGGTCTCTGCATTTGCTATCATTATTTTATTTGTTGTTTTTTTTTTTTTGGTTGGTCTTGGGCTTGAACTCTGGGCCTGGACACTGTCCCTGCGCTCTTCAGCTCAAGGCCAGCGCTCTGCCGCTTAAACCACAGCACCACTTCCAGTTTTCTAGTGGTTTATTGGAGATAAGAGTCTCATGGCCTTTCCTGCCCAGGCTGGCTTTGAACGGTGACCCTCAGATCTCAGCCTCCTGAGTAGCTAGGATTATAGGAGTGAGCCACCGGCGCTTGGCTGCTATCATTATTTTATAGTGCATGCACTCTGCGTATAAAACGGCCTCTCTTGCTGTCTCTCTGTTTTCTCTTTTTTCCATCTGCCTCTCTTTCTTTTTTCTTTTTTCCCATTTTCTCTTTGTTCTCTCTCTCTCCTTCCTTCCCTTCTTCCTTCCTTCCATTCTTCCTTCCCTTCTTCCTTCCTTCCTTCCATCCTTCCTTCCCTTCTTCCTTCCTTCCATCCTTCCCTTCTTCCTTCCTTCCCTTCTTCCTTCCATCCTTCCTTCCCTTCTTCCTTCCTTCCCTTCTTCCTTCCTTCCCTTCTTCCTTCCTTCCTTCCTTCCCTCCTCCATCCTTCCTTCCCTTCTTCCTTCCTTCCATCCTTCCCTTCTTCCTTCCTTCCCTTCTTCCTTCCATCCTTCCTTCCCTTCTTCCTTCCTTCCCTTCTTCCTTCCTTCCTTCCTTCCCTCCTTCCTTCCATCCTTCCATCCTTCCTTTCTTCCTTCTCTTCAGCACTAGGTTTTAAACTCAGGGTCTTGCCTTGCCAGGCAGGTGCTCCACCGCTTGAGCCATCCCTACGACCCTCAATCCTCCCACTTTTCTTCTCACTGCATCTCTTGGCTACCTTATTTTCTCTTGTGCTCGATTTAATCTCGTATTGTTTTGCTCATCGTGGCTCTAGGATCCGTAGGCTATTGCGCACAGCCTAGGTGTGTAACGGATCACATTCTATGCTCACGTAAGCAAGTCCTATAACATTTG